CATAACAAGCAACACCCCACCAATGAGTTCAAACATCACTTAGAGGCATAAATAATTTTTTTTTTTTTTAATTTAAAATATCCGGTACCAACTGAACGTAGCCGTGCTGTGCGCTTAGCACGCGTGAAGGCACAATGGCAATCCGAATTTTTCAACGTCGGGTGTTTTTTTTTTTTTTTTCTTGAAGTAGTTTTTAAAAATATTGTTTGTTTTTTTTTTTTTAAATTACAATTGACATGGGTAATGAAAAAACGAATTATATTCAAATAAAGCGAAACAAAGCACACCTCAAGCCTTCAGAACTGACTGACCCCAGCGGGCTCCCTCAGGGGTCTGAGGCGCCATCTTGTCACAGCTGAGGGGAAGGATCCCTCATGGGATCCTCAAGGGAAATATGGATGGAGCGGCCTGTCTTGCAGGGCCTGGGAGCAGCCTTCACCCGGCAAAGGAGAAGAGGCAGCTTGCTAGCAACATGAGAAAACTTTTTCATGCAAGGCCCCAGAGTTGTTCATCGATGAAATTGGACTCAAGGGGAGCTGGGACTCCCCATTCTGCCACGGCTGACAGCATGCGAAGAGCTAGTTAACCACAGGTAGTATAAAGGCATGGTTTATTTGCACCAAAAAAAGAGAGAGCTTGCAGGCACTGGAAAAGAAAACTTATGTCCCATGGGTGCATACTTATAAATGTAAACACACACCCCCCATCTAAATAATATTGCATACCCCTTCTGTGTTTTATTAAACAATCCAAAAAGGCAAGCTCTGATACCAAAAGGAGATTTAAAAGTTATCTAGAAGCAGCAGTTGAATCCCACCTCCTTGATAATTCTGCATCCAGGAGCAATACCAGCACTATCTGATCGCCTTTCCAAAATTATCCCATGCCTGCCTCTGGCAACCCTGAAGACTGTTAGCGCCTCAGATGAGCCACATCATGAAATGAGTGGATCAATAACCCAGAGCTCAAACCTGTTACATTTCTGTCCACGCTTTTGACTAGTATTTGCCCTGGTGACAAGGAGACAGGAGTTGTGCTTTGCAGCATCGTAAGCGACCTCAGCTTAAAAGGCGGTGCCCACTTACGGGCCTGAAGCACTGCAAACCTAATGAGCTAGGCAGAAGTGATACACTGCAAATCATGAGCATTTATGAATTGAGTGCAGGTGGGGTGGGGGCATAAGCTCTTTTGGTGCCACATTCTACCATCAATTGTGAAATAAACAAACAAAAGAATCTAGTAAAGAAAACAATTGTTCAGCAATTGATCTTCAAAAATTAACAAAGCCCCCGAATCATTCTTTACAAATCATTAAGTTAAGAGATACCAAGGTAAGGGTAACGTTATAATCTCCTTGGCCACTGTTTTCCCTTCTCTGCTTGGGTAGCTCATTTCATATAACTTGTGTCTTTGGATGCTGCTCCTTATTTGCAGTTTTGGCTATAATCTGTTAATGAATTCAAAAGCTACTGGAAAAATGAGACAGAACATAACAGCATGTATCATACTTTCTTAGGTAACTAGTTTAAAAAATAATCATATGGAGAATTGGTTTTGTGGTGAACAGAGAAACCAAACCTCAAATGACTGTTGTCAAGCTTAGACTTCTGTATCTGAACCTGACCTCTTGCCCAGAATTTGGGATTTTGTAAGGCAGGCCCACCGAAGTAATGAAACAAGCAGAATTAATTTGTCATCTCAGACCCTTGCAACTATTTATAAATTGCCTCTTGATTTACTCCGTATTCACTTCAATGCTACTGTTGGCCTTGCACATCTTTCACGAGAACAGGAACTGAGTGATGATATATTGCAAACTGGAAAAATTGAGGGAAATAAAAGGAAATGGCCCAGTGGCTGCCTCAAAACGCTTTCCTGCCATCTTCTGGACTTTCTTGGTAATGACAGAGAAGAAAGGTTTCAATTCACAATTTAAGATTCCGGATTTCAGCAGCTGTGTGCCATAACGAGGAAACAACATGCACCTTCAGCATAGTATATTGTGGCTCTTAAAAGCAAGGCTGTCACATTTGTCATTCAGCTCAGCAAGGGAGACTAAGCAACGAGAGCAAAATTAGTAAGGGAGATATAGCATCTTGTGAGGCAGCAGTCAGGTCAGAACAGCCACATGTACAGCTCATCCACTCAGATGATGAAGGGGAAACACACGATCCTCGCGACACTCCAACATGGTCTGGAAGCAAGCATTACCTTTCAGTCAGAACTTGCAAAGACTAAACACTGTCAGACTCCAACTTGTGACAGCCATGTAGAACATGGAATAAAACACTATTCCCACCAGAGGGAGTGGGCATAGCTTACCAGTTGCCTGTGGAAGAACTGAGCATGCCCTTTGAAATGAAGACACTTGGTTCTGTAAGTAGGCATCTTTGACATTTACTGCCAGCCACTGGGGACAGGTATCTCCATCGTCCCTTGTTCCTAAAAAGGGGACTGCAACATAATTACCACACAGAACTGTAAGATTCAGGAGTTCTATAGCAAACCCAATAAAGGAAGATAACATTACACTCAAATGTATCTTTTATTCAATCCTTGTAATGTATTTTCCTTCTTGGTATTGCGGTTAGTACGATTTTCTGATTTTAAAAATCAGATATTAGAATTTATCTGAAGATTTCTGCTGCCAGTTTTTGCTGGTGAATTGACATTTGTCTCTACTCACAGAAAGTCATGTAAGTAATGGAGACTATAAAAGAGAGTGTAGAAAAATCTTCAAAATGTAGAATTCAGTAGTCACAAAAAAAATGCTACAGAACACTTGAACTTTATCAAAAAACAAGAAGGGCAAGCAACTGAAACAAGCCCTAGCTTTGCAATATGTATTCAGCTTGCCTGAATTAGGAAAGGCTTATGTTTGCTACTTAAATCACAAGCAGCAGAATCATTTCACTGAAAACATGAAAAAGCAGATTAACCTCCAAGATACACCTCAATGGCTCCAGATCTGATCTGACCAAATCAGCTCACCTGACTTGGTAATCAATAGTTACATTTGCAGTAACGCAAAATTTAGACATTTAACATTTCGATCTAAGGGCATAAGCATGTGAGGTTCACAGATACAGTGTTGTCAGAAGAGAAGTTCCTACCTTTATTATCAATTAAAAAAAGTGTATTGTTTGTGGCTGCCCTTTATCTAAGCATTTTCTATTGATAAATCTAAGATATGTATATCAGCCAATTCTCATTCATATGTATCATTTAATGTTAGAAACTAAGTCTAGATATATGTGTTGCATATGAAGTTGTGGATAAATGGTGAAATGTACCAGAAATAATTTATTCACATCAGGAACATGTTTACATGACAATAAGCAACGGACAAAATTTGTTCAAAAACTTTTATTTACTATAAAGACAAAACCCACCAAAATAGGTACAAATTATACTATATAAAATTGGTTCAATGGGGTAAAAACTTTTAATTAAAATATCTTGATATATTTAAAATAACAAAGGATACAATGAAGCCAAATTTCTTAACCCAGAGATTTCTGTAAAATTTGCTTGCACAGTAAGGTGCTAATAGAAGTTAGCCCTTAAGCCCTGGAAGTCTTAGGAATCAGTCACATAGCAAATATAATTTCATTGTGAAAGTGAACTTTGGTAGAAGAAACTCTATAGGACACCTGAGGTAGTAGAAACTGGAATAAACAGCAGTAGACGTTATTTACAACTTAAGTACCAAATAACATTAAGAACACAAAAATAATTACACAATACAATTTTCAGTCCAGCTTTGATCCAAAGAAAATAAGAATATTACATCACATCTGCATTTTAAAAACACCACAATTACCAGCAAGCTGAGGGAAATGCAAACAAACTCAAACAAATGCATTTGGACACCTAGAGGCAGTTTGAGTTTGAAATGTGGTAGGCATGGTGATCTATGAAGTAATACTGATTAGCTGAGGTTCATCAGTTTATACAGTTTACATTTCTGCCAGAAACAGTATTAATCTGACAACTGATCTTCCAGTACATGAATTGGCAAGAGTGCATCCTTTAAAGCTTGCACATAAGAAAGACTTGGAAACAATCTTACTAGAATGAGAAATTCTAAAGTGGTCAAAAAAAACAAACAGTCAAGTACAAAACAGTTAGAGCTACCAAACTTCACATTTCGGTATTATCTTTTTAACTCTTCAAAGTCTGCCAATCTTTCAAAACAAAGGAATGTAAAATTTCCAAAAGAAACACATTCACAACTAATGACACTGCTTCTTTTATTAGCATGAGCACTATCATTCCTGTAAACTTATCTTTAAGATGTTTTACTTCCAATTTGTATTGTACATTTTTAATGTACTATAGCTTATTTAGTTTGTCCTGAGTCTTTAAAATAACCAATTCTATTTCAGTCCAACAATCCAACTGGCTTCTGAAGAGTTAAAACACGAACAGTATTTTTTTCCAAGTGGATTAAATACAATCAGTATTTGATTTAAAAAGATCCCCTTTTAAAAAAGCAAAAGAAAAAGCTGCCATTTTCCTTCAGAATTACATGCATCAGAATCTAAAAACCTGCCTTTACAATAATTTTAAAAACATCTTTAAAAAAAAAACACACCTGCTAAAAAACCACAAGTTTTGCACTACAGGTGAAGCTTTACTTCACATTTTACTGTATCTTGCTTTTCAAGTCCAAGTTTGTTTCTTGTTAAAATAAATACCTTTTTCATGGTAATGTTTTTAACGTTTTCAAATTAAATTATCACTAATGGCTACAGTATATAGATGATGTACGGCAGAAGGAAAACAGCAGGTAAAACTTATTATCAGTAGAGAATGTGACCTCAGTTTTGTTACACAGAGAATGCGATCTGCTCACAGCAGGCACCTGCTGCCCCCTGAAGTACAGGACAGTCTCCCATAAACTTTAATGGGAGCTGGGTTTGAGGCCTTTGACACGAAACTTCTCCGCATGATTTGCCAGAACAAACTGCCGTATGAAAAGAAGGCTCTACAACTTCTAGCATGATTCAGAGTTGTTTTACGCAGAACAATCTTAGTTTTGTCCGTTTTGTTTTTTAAATAACGTATACCGTCAGAGTCTTCAACACTGCCTTGTTGAAGGTGGCATTTTATTTTATGCCAGATTTCCAGCACATCTGTTTTTAGAACTCTTGTGTCAGCAAGCTGTTCCATGACACAGCTTGCATCTTTTTCTAAAGACTATTTTAGAAGATCACCTTTCCCTGAAAGTTAAAAATACAATGAAAACAAACTTTAATTTCAGGAGAAATTACATGGCCAGCAGTAAATGCACAGTGAACCACAACTGGCTGCTCTTACTTTAAGGAAGGCAAGATTTTTTTTTTTTTTAAAGTATCTCTCAGTGTTTGGATTTGTTACTCAGACAACTTTGTGTAAAGAAAAGGGGCAGATACAGAACTTCCTTTTAAGCAGTGCTGAAAACTGACTAATTGCAGAACCCTCTGCTTTCATCTACATGATGTGAAATGGAACAGTGATTGCTATATTAAAATAGATCCTGAGCCCCTCAGCTGCTAATATTGCTGAAAAAGTGCTCCAAATAAAATAAAAATCACTTATCTGCTAAATAATCATGCAGACTTAAGGAAAAATGCTTTTGTGTTTACATAGAGCCAGATGTCTGAAAAGGCACAGTTTACGAATCTCCGCATAAGTTGTGAAATGTTGCATACTGAGCTTAGGTGAAGATCTTGATTTGTCAATCACATACTTAGGTAGGGTCCTCCATTGGCCTTAAGTCCTTGATGTATCTATCATTAAGGCCAGCAGAATAATACAATTCGCTGTGCTTAACTGCACTGCAAGGCAGTTATTGTATATTCAGTAGCATCTTCTTCAGTATATCAGCCTTATACATACGTAGCTACCATGTAGTACGGAAGACTGGGTGTTTCAGCAGTTCCCTTGATGGGGGTCTGTCCTGAGGTTGAAGTTCCAAACACCGAAGGGTCACATCTTTCAAGCCAGGAGACAGATGTGTAGGGATTGACGGAGCAGTAGTTGCACTAGCAATCTGAACAAAGGGAAAACAGCTTTTTAGAAGTCAGTGATTCTTAAGCCCCCTCTCTTACCCCAAAAACCTTCCACAAGCTGATCGTTTTCAGCTGATGAGTTGTATTTATGAGCTTTTCTCCACCTGGCGTATTTCCTACTGCAGCTTGAAAATTACACTACTGCTTCCATTTTATAAAATGGGTCTTAAGTTGCCCTTACACCTATTGCCTTTCACAGCCTGCCTCTCTCCTTGTGCTTTTCTCTAAATATTCTTCTTACAGCAAGATTCTGCAGTGACCATCTGCTGAGCAGGCCACAAGAAAAGCTCTTATGCCATACGCACAGGTATTCTTCAGTCTACTAGTTGCCATCAGTGCTAACTGGCATAAGCCAACATGGAGATATATTAAGCTGAGAGATGTTATGGTATGGTATGTTAAGCTGGGTACGCTCTCTTGCATTGTCTTTACCGCATTTCTGCGACCACCCTGAAGGGCAATCTTTCTCAGACACAGATCACTCCAGACCAAGTTAAGCAAGATGACAGAGAACACTAGAGTTGCACCACCAGATTCACACAGGCACAGTACCAAGACAATTACCTCTCTTATCACAAGTGATTTGTACTTAATTAGAACTTATTTGAATACTGCTCTGCTACTTCTGTTTTGCGGAAACACTGTCTTCGCTCATGCTACTGCAAACGCTAATAATCACCTTCTTCACTTGCGGCAGTATTTTCTTCATTCATGTCTACAGTTCGACTAGACTTTAGAATTAAGTGTACCAAATTCATTTTAGTAAGAAACAATGCCAAAACGGATGACCTAGAAAAGGGAGGGGCCATATTCATATATAACATGGCACACTGGTAAATACCTTCCAGCAAAATCTGAATGTGGAACATCAGGTTTTTACCAAAGGTCATTCCCCACTATGAAATATGAATACACACAGAAAAGTTTTATGGTAGAAAAACTTTTGCTCCCCTATTTCACAGGATTGTAAGAAAGTTCAAATCCCAATCTTCTGCCTATAGTCAAGATCAACTTTATTCCTGATTTTTTTTTAGCCTGTTACAATATGTAATTGTATCTTAGAACAAAGCTTTTTCTGCTTATTATTGTGTTGGTAGCCTTTTTTTATTTTGAACAAGCAAGTATGATTGCGTTGTATCAGTACTGATTTTGTACTAACAGCTCCAATATAAAGAACGGCTATTGCAACATCTATACTCCTATACTTTCTAAAACTCACATTTCTATATGTGAAATAAGTCAGTGTCTTTTGTAGCAACAAAATACCTCACCTTAAATATCAGAGCAAGATGATTGGAGTGTTTCTCTGCATTCCAGGGAGGCTTAGCACAAGCCATTTCTATAACAACACAGCCAACGCTCCAGACATCGCAGCTCCTACCATACTGCTGACCTCTCAGAACCTGAGCAGACAGACAGACCAAAGCTCAGATTATCCATTTCAAAGTCTCTTAAATCTTAAGTAATTTATATGCAGAAAAAAAAAAAATCATCAACCAGGTGCATTCTGATTAACATTTCCGGTTGAGACCATGATCGGTGATGTAAATGCCATAAAATTTACTAGCTGTAGAGAGCTAGTAATTAAAACTAGGGGCAAAGCAAAGTACCTTGCAATAGTTAGCCTTTGACCAAATGATCATTTGGGCTTTCGTAGCAATACTTACGATAGTCTTGTACAAACTACTTAAAACAAATATGACAGTGAGAAAGAACTGGCACTACTGACATGTTAGAATCATTCCTATTCTTTATAACAAGTACATTTAAAACATATTTGAAACATTTTCAGCAACTTTCTGTTATTTGGCTGTATGAATTAGCTTAAAGAGTTCAAACAAACTTTTTGAAGTAACTTCCAAAACTGATTTCTTACCTCTGGTGCCATAAATGCAATAGTTCCCAACAACTGTCCCTGAAACTCCCCAGCACCAGTTCCTTTTGATGCCAACCTGGCTGCAGCTCCAAAATCAGCAATTCTTAATCTATGACCTGTGCTGTCAATTAGCAAATTGGCACCTGTCAACAGCATAATAAAAATACTGCTAGTTGGCTTTCTATTAAAGGCAAATGGATGAACAGACACTTCCTCCCTCCCATTTCAGAACTATAAATACCTTGACATTCCCCACCCCAATATAAAGCAAATCTAAAAATCAAGGACAAAGTCTAATAATGTCACTTTTCTGTTATGCCTGGATGATATTGCACACAGCTTGAGGCCATCCAAGAGATTTAGAGAAGCAATCAAACTTTCAAAGTAGGTCAAACACAGGATTCTGGAACAATGCCTGGAGATGCAATAATGAAAGTAAGTGGCAACCTAAAACCCTGGAGGTTTTCATTGCCTGCAGCTCCCTGTGAAATTTAAACTTATTTCATCCTTAAGCAACTTTGTATTGCCTTGAGGAGAATTACAGAGCAATTAGAAATTTTCCTATTTTAAGAAGACAGGTATTTGCCGTCTCTGTGTTGCTACTTATCTGGATATCTCTCCAGTTCATGGACAGCTATAGTGACATTAAAAGGAAAGTTTAGTAAGACTGGTATTTCCCAATGAAGTCCACATCTTGCTTAAACACAGGACAACTGTATTTATGTTCAATTACAATGAAGGAAGAAAATTCGTCACAATACTCCTATACATCAGAAACCTGACCTCCTTATCTTGGCTTGTTCACAGATTCTACTTATCATTTCAGTGTAAACACATTAACTAGCAATTTTTAAAGCTATATGGCAACTGCATATTTTACTTGAACAAATTGAGAAAAACAATTTTTCTAGACTATCAGCACAGGTAGCAAGTATCACCAAGCATGCTATGAACATTCAGATTAATTTCAGTAATCAAAGGTTCTTAAGAATGACCAAACCCCATAGAAATACCACCTTCGAGATGGGATCTGAGAGAAGCAACAGGTCTCAAGCCAAAACAGATGTTTCTTTCTGAATGTTCCTTTTTAAAAGACATTCTAAGTAATTCTCACCTTTAACATCTCTATGGATTATCTGATTCTCATGGAGGTAAGAAAGGCCACGTAACAGTTGTTCTGTGTAATTAATAATAACCGATTCTTTGAAGGCTCCGTATTTACTTAACAAATGAGCAACTGAACCCCCTAGAAGATAAAAAAGTACATTTTATCAACACTCGTATTTTATATTAGTAGAATGCAGCACTGCCTTCTAAAATTGGAACTTGGTATTGGTATTCCTAACTAGATTTCTCCTCGTGACACCCCTCCCCCCCAAACATTAAAAGGTTCCATAGGCAAAAAGTAATATGCTTCGTTATTTAATTACTCATTACTTTCTACCTGGAACGGTACACATTGAAGACATAAGTCTTCATGCTTCCTAATAATTTTATACTTCCTTAAAAGAATGTACAAAGTACTGTTGCTAATAAAAAAACTACACGTTTATCCTCATTTTTCATTAACGTTTAAGTAGCAGATCACTAGCCTTCTTTGGGGCAACAGAGATGCAAAGCCTCCAGTAAGCATTCCCTCTGAGGATCTTAATTTACTTTTGTTACCATCCAAATACCAATCTATAGAAGCTAGTAGACAAGCAAGGAAAAGCAGTATCTCGGTCTGTTTTCCGTAACTGATATATAGATCTGATATATACATTTTGGATTTCCATTGTGCCTCTCAAAGTATTCTAATGTAACTTGGGCTTGAAGGAGGTAAAGACAATTCCTGACATTTCTTTATCTAAATAATATTGTTTCAGAAAAATTAAACACCCTTAGTTTTGAGAAAGTATTTTCTGCACTACTCTTGTAATAACACATGGGCTTCGCTTGTTATCACTCTGCTATTGCTAAGTGGTTTGTGCCAAAGAATGTAAGTTAAGGTGCAATGCTTTCTTTTATAAGAAGTAAGGATGCACAAACCATGAATCTTGTCTTGGTAAGTAGACGGCAACAACATATAATCCCATTCATAAAATTAATAAAGCTCCTTCTTAAAAAAAGGATATAGTTTCCTGTCCCTGCTCTATAAAATAATGAAAAGATTTCACTATTTGCTGTTAAATTACCACTTAAGTTTATTTAAGATTCAAACGTGTCTTTTCCCAAAGCACCCTGGCTTACTACTTATTATTAGAAATTTACTTTAAGTTTACTTTGCATGTAACCTTACACAATTTTATGAAAATGCTTGGGATGAAAACACGCAACAGGTATGCCAAACTTTCTAGCAAAGTTATCGTTAATAATAACTTAAAAATTACACAGGTACAATGAAAATGCAAGTTTGATGTATTTCCAACCGAAGTGCCTCTCAAAGTTTCTAACTCCTCATTTAGATTCAGACACTGAAGAAGAAGTAGTAGAATTTTTGTTCAGGGCTTCAAACTTCTTTAACTGTATGGCAGCTTAGGTATGGAAAATGCCAAATCAAAAAGAGGATGCACCAGTACAAATATTGCTACGACCACTTAAACTGTTCTGTAAGTAGACTTTTATACTGGTTACCAACTGCAATGAAGTGATCCAAAATGCAGCATGAAATTACATAGTTCAAGACTCAACCGATACTTCCATTTGCTTTGGCACAGTCGTTTACCTGCCATCCATTCGATGAAGAGGTTATAGTTGCTCTTCTCACATGTAGCACCTAACATTCGAATAATGTTAGGATGGTTCAGATGACTCATCATCCTTATTTCTTCTCTCAGTGCTTCAACTACCTCTTCTTGCTCAGATGATGTGTTCCTGACATATGTCACCTGTTTTGAAATAGGGTATTCAGACCTACCTTACATAATTATCAGTCCTGTAACCCCACCCTGCAGTACAGTAACAAGAATGGATGGTTTTCCATCCCTTTTCACTGTCTGGAAACAGCAAGTATTCTTTTATCTCAAGCCCCTTTAGCTGAGAACATATCTCCATGTGAGAAAGTCAGAAAATTAAAGTGATCTACTGGGGAAAAACCAACAAAAATCTCTCCAAGTATGGAGTGGGGAAACTTCCTTCTTCACTTTTCCCTGTTTAAACTAGGAAAAAATTTTTTTTTTCAGATATTGAAGAAAAGGAAGAAAGAGAAGGCCTGAAATGGGATTCTGACAGTGTTGTTGTATGTAATATTTTTACCAGTTTAAGCATACTATCCGTTTCCTAACTAAACCTCTTACCACAGAAACCCAGGAGGACTGGTGGACAGATCAGAAGTCCTGTAACGTAACTGGAGCCAATCCCAGCTCTGACCCACACAAAATCTGCAATAATGGTATACTGCAGAAAATTTCCCCTGAGCATCAGAATGACCATCTGACCAGGAGGAGCCTCAAGGACTACATGGACAGTCCTACTCCTTCACAAGCAAGAGAGTTTCAAAGGAAGAATAGCTGATGACAGATATTCTTTCCCTGATTAAATGCTTTGAAATTGCTCAATTCCATAGGTGTAAGTTCATTTAGAATTACTAAGAAAATGTTAGGACTAAGATTCCCTCTATGTTGGTATCACTGATTCAGACCTAGGGCATCTTAAGTGTGACAGATTTACTTGCATCTAGAACCTTCAAAAATCTGCAGTGAGGCATGTGCATTTGGGCCTCTTTGCTCAGTCACACTTCTTCTATCTTCTATCACACTTGTATCTATTAATTTAAATATTAAAAATACTTGCCTCAAAATCAGCTGTTGGATCAGAGGAAACAAACATTAAATTACATTTCCTCCACTTAAACTGTTTCAGGGAAAAAAGCCTTGGCAAGTAAGGGGAAACTACTTGTAATAGCTACCATGCAAATAGGGCATTAATTTGGAATCAAGACATCTGGGCTCTATTCCCAACTCTGTCACTGATTTATGAACTTGATAAAAATAAAAATGCATTTAAAGAACTATGAAAGAAAATAGGCATATAAAAGTAGTACAATATTTTTTCATTTTAAGGAGGTGACAAAAACCTGAAAATATTATGTTAATACCATGCACATATGGACTTTTTGTTCTGTATTATATGAGAACACATAACAGGGAGCAGAGGAAACAAAGAACACAAGAATTCTGTCAGAACAGAGAATTTTTATATTTAATATTCCAAAGAAATACTGAAGAACAAGTACAGTATGTTCAAGAAAGTTAAGTATTTGAAGTATTTACCTGTTTTACAGCCATTAATGTCCCCGTTCCTACATCTTGAGCTTGGTAACAGGAAGAGAAAGCTCCAAGACCAATTTGCTGACCTTTAAGCCATTCTGCATCTTCTCTGTAATGGTGTTTTGCTTTGGTATGTCCAGGCAGGGTTTCTGGTGTCTGCAAATTAAATTCCAAATCAATTCCATGTTTACCACTACGCATCCGAAATGTAGACATTCTGGAAGGTTATGAAATATCCAAGCTTTTACGCCTCTCCTCTCCCTTACAGTTCTTTGTACTGCATGTTATATGTGTTTCAGCTGAGACCAGAACACCAATGTGTTCTGTAATCCATATACTCCTACTGTATTTAAGAACAGAGCCTCCTCTATGTTACCAACTGAAGGTGAGGCAAGATTTAAGGACACAAATAGGAACAAGACTTTTTTTTCTATTCCTGATCTCACATCTAATTAAGGTTTTAGTTAGCACCTATAGTAAACACAACCAAAATTGTGTTGCTTTCTACTGAATTTATTTCTCCCACTTTCTGCTTCACATGTTGTTACCTCATGCAAAGGATCACAAATAAAATAATTCTTTCTCTATTCTTATTATCTCACATCTCTCTAAAGGTGTGTCAGAAGATCTCTTCTGACTCTGCTTTTTCTTTCAGCAACTAGTTCGGTTTTGTGCAATTGCCTTCAAAGTAAATTAGCATTAAGACAGTACTGTCCTACTCCCAATTTCGCCACTTTTACACTTCCTTCTTTGCCATTTTAAAGATTGATACATGATGTGATGTTATTCTTCACAATACCTTCTCTAAACTTGTTAATAAGCATGGAAGGATTCTGTTAGCACCTTTCAACTGGCAGGCTCTTTTATAGTCTGACTCCGAGGAGAGGGTATTGAGTAACTCTATGTTTTATGTAAGTTCAGAAATATAACAGCATTGGTTTACAAATTCAGTGAACCTCAACTGAGACTTATG